CCTATCCCCTGTGTGCCTTGATGAGTAGATTTTATGCATAAATTCTTTAAGTGATTTAGGTTGGTAAAAATAAAAATAAAAATTTAAATACGAAATAAGGTTGTGACTGTCAGATCGGCCATGCTTCAATCTGAACCATTGACTGACACTGTAGCAGTGAACCCATGTGCTGTCGGGCAGATATCTTGCATGGCACTTAATCCTTGCTTCTGTAACTTCTGAGCAATCTTCCTCAGCACCTGCACATATGCCCACAATTAATTTTCATAGAAACGGTTCCAATATGCTGCTAATATGGATTGCATCAAAGGTCTGGGTATGTAGCTGATTGATTATTTTCATCTTTAATTATAAAATTTAAAGAGTCAAAAAAAGTGTAGATCGTGTGTAGAGTCTTAGTATCCATTAATTGATATGACTATACAAATTGTCTTTTTACAGACAAATTACAAATGACACTAATATAAACTAAATCATAATTATATAAACTATACCCAGATTTACCATAAATACAAGGTATTGTATTTACCCTTCTCAAATATACATACCCCAATATACACCTTCTATATTAACCTGATAGATAATATATACTTTCCTTTCACAGAACGAGCAGATCTATGAACACTTGAAAATCTTGAAAATTGACGGTCTAGACAACATGATATAGAAACAATCTCTTGATGTGCCCAAAAGAAATCCCTTTCCTGCCCATGGTTCTCTCTACCCTATGTAATAAATGACATCTATTTGCTTAACATTCCTTAAAATTTCAGATCTGATAAAATTTCATCGTTCCCTTATTAAAATATTGTGCTAAGTTTTATAAATATTCCATTGCATCCATAGTTCGTTGTGGTGTGGGATCGCATTTGTAGATGAATATTCAAAATATTCAAAAGGCAACTTGTTGTTGATTATGGACCGGTGGTCATAAAGCATGAAAAAAAGGGGAAAAAAATGGTTACATATTCCAATTTGCATATTTTAAAAGCCAAAAGTTTTGGTCTTCCTCTATTGGTACCAAAAGGCACTTGGAAAGGTTTCTTGAAAAGGAACATGGCATAAAATAGTCAACTATTTGTGGCTGTGATCAATCTAGAATTAAATTTATTTATATATATATATATATGAAAGAAGATTATGTCAGCCCACGGGCTAACAGCTTTAGTGTCAGCCAAAGACCCTGATTGAATATGGGCCCCAGTCCAATGGTCACGATTTCATTTCGTATTTGAATTTTTATTTTTTTATAAAAATTCAAATCATTTGAAATTTTGAGCGTTTATTCTTAAAAAATAGTATAATCTAATAAAAATATAAAAATAATAATTTAAAAAATAT